TCTTTCCCTCCTTCTCGCTCTATCCTTCTCCCTTTCCTCCCTTTCATCCCGCTCGCTTGCTCTCTCCTTTTCCCTCTCTCTGTCTCTATCCCTATCCCTATCTTCTCGATCTCTCTCCTTCTCCTTCTCGCGATCTCTCTCCTTCTCCTTCTCACGATCTCTGGACTTCCGTTCCCGATCCTGATGGCGTGAATCCCTGTCTCTTCTTTCCCGGTACTTCTCATCTTCAATCTTTTCCTTCTCCAAACGCTGACTCTCCCGATCCCGGTCGCTTCTCGCAGAATCACGATCCCTTGTTTTCTCCTTTTCCCGTCGCCGCTCTCTATCCCTATCTCCCCTTTCTGAAACCTCCTTCGCACTCTCCTTGCTCGATCTCTGCTTGATGTTCTCCACTTCCCCCATCCGAGATGCTCCGGCCCCGAAAACCCTAGAAAAATGAATCGTAAAAGAAGAAGCGAAGAAGCACCTGGGAACGAACAGACTAGCCCAATGGACGAAGCCATTGCACCGGTTTTATTTTAGGAGTTCTTAGACACGCGAAACTTTTTATTTATATAACTCAGATTATCAAATTAAATCAGAATTATAAAATTTAAAATTTTGATTTAACTGTAAAACAAAAGCTAAAAAAATAAAAATTTAATTAAAATCCTTTCCTTACAATGAATTATAAAATTACATTTTTTATGAATAGTAACTTATCATTTATATTTTAAATTAATCTATCATAAGCAAATAAGAATGAAAATTAAAATTTTATCTATTAATTTTTTTTAAATACTTACAAGTTATTATATCGTCTTGGTTACACCTAATTTTTCTGTGTGGACTCCTGACGTAGCACTACGTGTCGCGGAGGTTATTCCTGAGTTATTTTTAAGTTATTTCTGAGTTATTTTCCATAATCCTGAAATAACTCAGAAATAACACGCGGTCTTTATTTTGTGTTAGTTCGAGATTATTGAAAATAAACCAGAAATAACCTGAAAATTATTCAGGAATAACCTTCGTGGCACATAGAGTTACGTCAGAAGTCCAAACAGAAAATACGATCCTTGATTACATTACTATCTTTTAAATTTCTAATGAATGGTAATATGATTTTGTACTATCTTCACGACAGAGAAAGCTTGAGATCCCGGGAAATAAAAACATAGGAAAATTCAATATGCCACACTATTTGGGAAATCAAATATTGTAAGAAATTAATAAGCGTCACATGTTAAAACAGGGGAAATCAAAGTTTTATCTTCACCCGATTCTCATAAATCGAAACCGGTTCGCCAGTTCACCTATCGAACCGACGGCTTGAGATGATTTGAAGCTTTTTGATGATGAAGCGGTTCAATTAGATGATCAAACCTGACCACAAATCGGTTCATGATTGAACTGGTAGAATCGGCTGGCCCGGCCTGATTTTGAAAATCTTGCTCACATTAGTAATTTTAATTTTACAAATTACCATTAGAAATCTTATGTAATAATTAAAAAAATCTTGTGCTATCTCCCTCATTGGCATGTCCCACCTCCCTCTCCCCAGTTTCGTCCATCTCACCAAGCTCAAAATTTTTACTTATGTTAGAAGCTATAGCATCTAGGGGTGTAAATAAGTCGAGTCGAGCTCGAGTCATTCTTAGGGCCCGTTTGGGGCAGCTTATAAGTGCGGACGGTATTTTCAAAAAGCCGCCTCACTGTTTGTTTCGCACGTTTCAAATGATTTTAATAAGAAATTCATTATTTTTTTATTGTCACCGTAAGATATGTGAGTTAGACACGCATTAAAATTTTGTGACAGGCTAGGGAACAGATTTTAACATGGGAAGATCTACATAAATACCACTCAGTCCTTATGTAATTTTATATTCAATACTTAAATTTTAATAAAAAATTCATAAATATTTATATATTTTTATTAATTTAATTGATTAGCACTAATTAATTAATTAAATATTTTTATTGAAATTAATTATAATTAGATAAATTAATATATAATTGTACAATGATTAATTAATAAAAAATTTAAATTATATATTAATTTTAATTAATTTAATAAATTTCTAGTGATTATTATAAAAAAAAGAGAAAATAATATTAATTTAAGATAGTGTTATAATAAAATTACAAATACAATGAACAATTATGAGAGAAATAATAGAAATCACTAAATATAAAATGCATCATATTATTTTTTAAATATTTTTAATACTTTAAAGAAAAAGTCTTCAAATTTAATATATTTTGACTATATTTTATTTTAATACATTTCAAGCAAGTCAGCTCATTAACTAACGAGTCGAGTCCGAATAATTTAAGCTTGGCTTGTTGGCTCATCAAGCTAAGTTCACGAGCCACTTATCGAGCCAAGCTCGTGCTGACTCACGAACCAACTTGACTCACTTACTCCCTGAATAACATATCTCTCTTCCATCCATATTCCGTCAAAAGCCGATGTGCCCTAATATAATGAGTTGATCACACCCCACTCTGATTTTAACAACATTAGAGGGGCTTTGTTGGAGACCGGGGAAACCAAATGTTGCCCTTATATTTCTCAAATCCGAGACTTTTTATTTTTTATCTTTTAAAGTTTGTATTCCTGCCATATTTTCTTCTAAATTGATTCTTAACATGCATTCAATACTCACCATATTTGAAGATAGTTATCAAGCACTCGATTTGATCGATCATTACAATCATTTCTCAAACTTGATCACAAGAGTTCTATGTAGTTCAACACATTTCTTCCCTAAATGTACGACTTCTTCCACACTAAGAATCAATAACAGTTAATGGGATCAAGTTAAAGGCTGACTTGGCACATCTAAAAAAAAGGTTTAAAAAATAAAGAAAAACAAGTTATATGCTTGGAAAGTAAAATGACTAGTTTGGATAAAGTATCAAAAATACAATGCACTCATAAGAAAAGGGTAGATTCTCATTGCAGTAAGCTCTAGGCTTCAAGAAGAATATTTTATGTCGAATACTTCTAGGCAATCAGGTCCTATATCGTTCTTGGGTTCACATAAATGGGGAGAGACTTGTGTAAGGAAGTTAAATGAAGAGGAAGGATGAGCTCTTTCGGCTTGAATTTTGTATTTTGTTTTCTAATCTTCCTTTGGCGGAGCAGTAAAGGTGATCTAATGAAAGGAGGACGCATGGAGGTCCTATGAGAATCATGATTTGAGGTCACACGAAAAGGCATGAAGCGGCTCCCCTCCCCTTTTACAGATGTTTAATAAAATATTATAATACAAGCCATATCATACAAAATATGTTCATGGTGTCTGATTGAGAAGATTGCGACGTGTGTGCCGGGTGATTCATTAATGTGGATGTGGCATATGTTAATCTTTGATTTCGGTCTTAACTTTTGCATTCTTATAATTAAAAGGACCGTTGATGAGGTAACTAGACTGATAAGCCCTATTGGTCAGTTCATCAGGTGGAATAGGTAAATCAATTACGCGAGCCAGTTTGTTAAGTCAGTTCGACAGGTCAGCCCTAGTGTTGGAGCAGCCCAGGGGTATGTGCATCGATGGGCCCTTCAGACCCACGATGGGCCTAAAAAAAAAAGTTTTTATCAATTATGATGTGATCTCCATCTTGAGCACGAAAATAGGCTATTTTGGCATCACCACGACAGAACTTGGCGTGGTCACACCATCAAAAATACAGTTAGGTACTTGGAGCGTGGCGGAGGTCTCGGGCAAGTTCCCTTGGCCTTGGAAGGTCCTAAATAGATGAGAAATGATCTCTTGCCATCAAAGAACGTCCATTGATATGTTGTAACATTGGAATAAACCCTCCATATAGCGATCATCTCCGAGCAACACAAAGTGGTCAGTAACCCTAATTCTCACCCGGTAGTGTTTGTAGGCGAGCTTTGTGACTCCAGTTGACCATCAACGAGTCCAGATTGATGGGGCAAGGTTTCTAAAAATTGAGATGAATGTTAAACATGTCTCGAGCCAAAGCCAGACCCATCTCACAATGAATTTACCCGGTTAGGGCAAAATTCTGTACCGATCCTGATTATGTGCTCATGAACACACGAGGAGGTCCAGATTTATATCTTGAGATTCAGGATGGTATGATTGAATACCAAGTCATCCTGAGTCATCCAAGTGGATACCCTACACATGTGACATAAAAATTGATGCAAACAAACTTGATCCACAATATGGTGGCACACATATTAATCATAAAACATATGTGTCAATCAAGTAGTAAAATGGATTTTGAGTCCAAGCGTTGATCGTTCGAGGAATGAGTTATATTTCAATAAATTTAATTACCAGTTTACTACTTTTAAATTTAGTTTAAAATGTTGCAGGTTTTCGAATGAACTTTCTAATAATTATAAAGTTTAAATTGAAAAAGAAAGATACTTGGTACTGAAAATAGTAAGAAAACCTTCTTTCAATTGGATGTTATGAAAATTCTAACTTCAACCATAAAATTCTTCAAAATCTATTAACAATCAAGTATAATTACTGCATGTTGACCTCAATTTTGAGGTTTTCCTTTCCTTTTCTTTAGATACCCAAGAATCTAGCCTCAGGATTTTTCTATTTTTGACTCTCCTCAAAGGACTAGATCAGGACTTCCAATATTTAGAAATTCAAGCTATTTCTTCGCTCCTTGAAGTTTCATATGGACGGTTTCTAATTCTTGACGTCCAGTTGAGTCAATTAAAGCAGACATATTGAAGCTCTTGTTGAGTTCTTATAGGAATTTGAAAGACGTAGGTGGATCCCATGGCGTGTGTAATGTTTGAATTTTTGTCGCGAATAGTTTACTTGACTTCGTTTGTTGCTTATGTGAGGACCGGTCAATGATATACTCGTTAAACGGCTCCGAATGGACCAAAATATCTTCTTTAACCGCAACACGCGCAAATTAAAGTTAGATTGGCACGATATTCGATGAAATTGTCTGGGTGATCCCAGATGACGAAACAGACCGCTCCAATGCGTCTGAAATGCCGATTTTGGCTGGAAAGGACATATATATTGATAGGGTTTCGAATCAAGTTAAGTTGTGTATGAATTCATAAATTTTGAATAAAATAATATTTTTTTAGTAAATTTTATTAAAAAAAAAGAAGAGGGGAGAAATATAATCTCACGCTCTTTCCTTTCTTTTCCCCACCTTTCTTGCCCTAGCTGAACCATTTCCTCCCCCTCTCTTCTCTTGACCGAATCTCGAAGCTTCCTTCCGATTCTCCGGTCATCTCTTTCCTCGTCGGCCTTAACCAACTTTCACTGCGGGTTGCTTTGCCGATAACCATTCTCTAACTGATTTTCTCGCCCAAAAGAATCTAGTAACCTTCCTACTCTTGACTTTGGGGCTTTTTCATTCTTTTCGGGTGTTTCTCCTCACCACCTCGATGCTCACCGCCGGCGAGCCATTCTCTCATCTTCGCCTATAAATATCCCTTTGAGGGAAAGATTTGGGGTGTTGGTTTTTTCACTCGAGAGATTTTGAGAAGTCTTGCTTGGTTTTGTTTCT